ATGATGCTGATGCTGATGATGATGATGATGATGATGATGATGATGATGATGATTATGATGCTGCTGATGATGATGATGATGCTGATGCTGCTGATGATGATGATGATGATGATGATGATGATGATGATGATGATGATGATGATGATGGCGACGACGATCACGCAGACGGCGACTGGGGGGATGTTCATGCTGATGGTACGTATGTTGCTGCTGTGAATGGCGATGCTGGTGCTGATAAGGATGTTGCTGATGATGACGTTGTGCCCCATGGTTCTGACGAATTTCGATGGTACCGATGTTTATGGTGATGTTGATGGTAAGTATGCTGACTAGTGTGGTGGTGATGATGGTGGCAATGGTGACGATTCTGCTGCCGACGATGAATAGGACGAAGATGGCGATGATGATGACGATTATGGTCAATATCATGATGGTTTTGCTCACGATGATGAATGATGATGGCGATGATGCTGGCGATGATGGTGATACTGGTGATGGTGGTGGTGGTGAGGATGATGCTGCTGATGATGATGCTGATGATTGTGACGCTTATGATGGTGACGACGACGACGACGACGACGACGACGATGATGATGATGATGATGATGATGATGATGATGATGATGATGGTGGCACGGCTGCTGCTAATGATGATGACAACGATGCTGATGCTGATACTGGTGATGATGATGGTGATGATGATGACGATGATGATGATGATGCTGCTGATGATGATGATGATGATGTTGATGATGATGATGACGACAACGATGACGAATACGTTGGTGCCGATGATGCTGATGCTTATGATGTTGTAACGCTTTGGCCATGATGCTGCTGCCGATGGCGACGACGACGTCGACAACGACAGCGACTTTGATGATGATGATGATGATGCTGATGATGATGACGATGATGGTGGTGGTGGTGATGATCATGCTGATGATGTTGGTGTCGTCGAGGATGTCGGCGGTTCTTAGGATCAGTATATTGGGGTAACCGCGATGAGGATGATGATGCATGTTAATGCGGCCGAGGCACGATGAGAAGAGTGCTTAGGATGGGGCGGGGGATGCGAGAGGAGGAGGAGGAGCAGGAGGAGGATGAGGAGGAGGATGCGCATGAGGAGGAGGGGGAGGAGGAGGAGAAGGAGGAGGACGAGGTGGAGGAGAAGGTGGCGGACTGGATCTGTGGTTGCGGCGACAGACGGAGGAGGGAAAGGAGGAGGGGGAATGACGATGAGGACGAGGGAGGAAGATGAAGATGAAGAGGAAGAGGTCGGGGGTGGGGAAGGGAGGGAGGAACGGAGGGAGGAAGGGAGGGAGGAAGGGAGGGAGGGAGGAGGAGGAGGAGGGACGAGGGAGAGGGAGGTGAGGGGACCGGATCACGAACTCCGACGCCGCGTTTTTTCACAACGTGGACTCGAAGCTCTGGACCCCTTTCCCGGGAGAGATTTTCATTTTGAGCAGTTCCCAACAACAATGTGGCGTTGGGTCTCATTCTCGTCGTCGTCGTCGTTGTCGTCGTCGTCCTCGTCTTCGTCGTTGTCCTTCTCCTCCCCATCAACATGATTATTATCATCATCATCCTCAAAATCATCATCATCATCGACAGCATCATTATTATCATCATCATCATCATCATCATCATCATCATTATCATCATCATTACCATCATCACCACCATCATCATCAGCATCATCAGCATCATCGTTCCAGCATCGTCATCAATATCATCACCATCATCATCACCACCATCATAGTCTTCAACATTACGATCGTGATCGTCATCATAATCATCGCCACCACCACCATCATCATCATCATCGTCATCATCAGCATCATCATCAGCATCACTATCATCATCATGATCACCATCGCCATAATCATAATCAGCGTAACCACCAGCATCACCATCAGCATCAGCATCACCATCACCATCACCATCATTATCAGCATCACCATCATCAGCGGCATCATCACCATTACAGTTACCATCACCATCATCATCATCAGCAGCAGCACCATCATCACGATGGCCACAGTCATCAGCATCAGCATCAGCATCATCATCATCATCAGCAGCCTTGTCACCCTTATCCTCATCCTCATCCTCATCCTCACCATCCTCACCATCCTCACCATCATCATCATCATCATCATCATCGTCATCATCATCATTCATTATCATCATCGTCGTCGTCATCATCATCATCATCAGCGTCAGCGTCAGCGTCAGCACCATTATCATCAGCGTCAGCATGATCAGCATCACCCGCCTCGCCATGACCAGGCGTGGACGCAGCTGCAGCTGCCAGGTCCCTCGGGAGGGATGTCGCTCAGGCTCCCGTACCTGAGCGCAGACGCGGCTTTCCTGGCCACCGGACCAAGGTCCAGACATGCCTGCGCGGAGCCGGGGCGCCCCACGCGAGGCGATCAGGCTGAACCCCACGCACGCGCAGCCGCCGCCCAGTTGCAGTCAACTGGCGTGGAGGTAGACATTTCGACGAGCGCCGCCGCCTTCACAGCGACTGCACGTCGGGAGTACGAGGCCATCCCCTGGTGCAAGGATGCGCCTACGTGGGAAATCACAGCATTCCACCCGGCGGCTTTTCTGGCAGAGTCTGGACAGGGCTCCCGTTTGCACAGCCGCGTCCGTGCACTCGAGGCGCTACGGGCGACAAGCACGTTCCGGTCCACGCACGCCGACTTCATGCGCGAGGTTTTCCTTTCCAGCGGAGGGCCATATTTTGGTAAGATGTGGGCGCAGCCGCTGCGATAAGCAGCTGGGTGGATGACGACCACTTGCGCATGGCGCTCCAGCTGCGCCTCGGTATCGCGCAAGCCCTACCTCCAGCCGTTTGCCAGATGCCCCGAGCGGGGAAAGGAATTGATCCGTGCCTCGGCCAGCAGGACAATCCGTTGGTGCGCCCGCACGAGTGCAAGTGCGGGCCCGTTCGCATGAGACCCCACTGGTCCATGCTGGAATCTCTGTTGCATCTGTTCGTCAGGAACGGGTGCGTCGCAGACGCAGATCGTGCCGTGCCGAGCCTTTGGCTGAGTCACCCACGACAGGACGACGGGGTCGTAACCGAAGCAATCCTGAGCGTTGTTGTGCGTATCTCAGGAGTCCTTGTGTCGTATTTCTTTGGCGTAACGGCGCGGTGCGGTGCCCGCGGAGCGTCCAGAACGCCGACGGCGGCCATGGAGGAGCATCCAGAGCCTCAGTTGCAGCGGCCGACAGAGCCTGAGAAGAGCAGGCGGCGGTACGGCAGCCGAGTCTCTGCCCTCGCCTTCGAGACGTACGGAAGGAAGGCTGGGCGCCGGCAGCCAGGCTGACCTCCGCCACGTGGCCAACATGACCGTTTCGCGAGGAGGCTCGCGCGGCCGGAGCGGTGCGGAGGCGTATGGCCAACAGCGGCCCGCGCTGGAGCGGGCTTCGGCGGCGGCCATCGCCGATGTCACGTTTCCGCCCCTGGGCCGCGCTGCCGGCCTTGCGTGGCGGCCCTGGCGCCGACGACGGGGAGGGCCGCCAGCGCTGGAGGGGAGCGGATGCGGTGCGAGTTCTGGCATCTTTCGAAGCTGATGTGTCCAACTGCTGCTGATCTTCCCCCTCCTCCTGATCATCATCATCATCATCATCATCATCATCATCATCATCATTATCATCATCATCACCATCATCATCATCGTCATCATCATCATCGTCAGCATCGTCATCATCATCATCATCGTCATCATCATCACCATCATCAGCATCATCAGCAGCATCATCAGCATACTCATCATGATCATCAGCAGCATCAGCAGCATCAGCAGCAGCAGCAGCATCATCATCATCATCATCATCATCATCATCATCATCATCATCATCATCATCATCGTCATCGTCATCGTCATCGTCATCGTCATTGTCATCGTCATCATCATCATCACCATCATCATCATCATCATCAGCATCATCAGCGTCGTCATCATCATCGTCGTAACTTTCGCCACCATCAGTCAGATTTCGGCACAGACCGTGCGTGTTTCGTGGCCCTCTCGGGAGCTCCACAGAAAACCCCCGTGGGAGGATTCGCGTGGCGCCACCGCGCCCACGTCGGCACACCCCTCGGTCGTTTCGTGGCCCCCTAGGAAGGTTTACCGAAGGCCCCAGCGGGAGAGTTCGCATGGCGCCACCGCACCAATGGGGAGCTCCGCCGCAGGCCCAAGTCAGAGGGTCCGCGTGGCGCCACCGCATCGAGTTCGGCACAACGGTCACACGTTCTGTGGCCCACGAACGGCCTCCACCGAACCAGGAGTCTCACAACCGCCCACTCCACGCCTGCGCATGCTCGGGTGCTTCGGCAGGATCATTTTTGGACGGTCCTGGGGCCCGGCAGGCGCCGCCGGAGGCCGAAAGGGGCCAAACATCTCCCGTCGCGTGTCTCTCTCAACGGGTGGAGGGGGCAGAGGTGGAGTTGGGCCAGGCGTTGTGGAGGACGATCAGTGTAGAGGAAGCATGTTGCCAAATCATTTCCAGATGTCTAAAACATGGGTGAAACATGTTCTAAACATGTAAACACATGTTTAAAGCATGCTCATTTCGTTTCGTTTTTTTTTGTTTGTTTGTTTGTTTTGTTTGTTTTTGTTGTTTTTGTTTTTTTCCTGACATTTTACACACATTTTATACTCCATGGCAGGACTGTTGGGGTGTCCACTGTCGTGGCACCCACAGGCCACGAGGCCCCGAAGACCTCGGCTCTGGGGCCTTGGTCCTCGCCCGGAGACGACCTCTCGAGCCTGGATCCCCCTGTCCCAGGAGGAGGAGGAGGAGGAGGAGGAGGAGGAGGAGGAGGAGGAGGAGGAGGAGGAGGAGGAGGAGGAGGAGGAGGAGGAGGAGGAGCCTCGACCCCAGCTCCCGGAGCCTCGATAGCCTGGCGCGGGGGAGGGCGGGGAGCGGGGGAGGGCCTGCCCGCGTGCGGGGTCGCCGCGGCGCCCCCCCCTCCCCCCCCCCAGGGGCCAGAGGCGGGGGCGCCTTTCACGTGCGGCGCGGTGGGCGACAACGCCACGGCGCACGTCTAGGTGAGGCGCCGGTGAGGCGCAGGGGCGCGCGCGGCTCGCGGGGGCGGAGGGTGCAGGATGGCGGGTCCGGGGTCGAGGATCGAGGATCGGAGGTCCAGGGCCGAGGGTTCAGGATCCAGGGTCGCGGATCGGGGATGCGCGACAGAGGACCGCAGGCACAGGGCCGAGGATCGAGGATCGAGGATGCAGGATCGAGGATCCAGAGTCCATGATCCAGGATCTCGGGTGCACTGGTGAAGGCGGGATAGGCTCCGGGGGAATTCCTCGACCCCCAGTCGCCCTTTCGTCGCCGAAAGGAGCCCGATAGCCCACCCCGCCCAGCAACCAACGGATGCGCTGTCAGGGGCCTACTTCCGATGTATCGGATATCGGTGATTTATCGCCGATTTCAGCTCGGTGTTCCCTCCACCCCCCACACACCCCTCCGACCCTGAACTGGTCCCAACCCATCGTTGCCCCTCGGGATCGAGGTTCCAGGGTTAAAAGTCGGGCCTGTCCCTCTACAGTGGGAATATTCAAAAATAGTCAAACAAATAGTCTGAGGACTATTTGTTGAGTATTTTTGGGCATCTTTTTTGAGTATGTTTTGAGTATTTTCTATTTTTCGCCCGAAATCCCCCTGTAGGGGGACAGGCCCGACTTAATTCTAGGGTCGAGGATCCAGGATAGAGGTCTTTCCGACGAGGGCCAAGGATCCAGGATCGTGGCTTCTGGGCGTCCTTCGGCCTTTCTGCGCCTCCCTCCACCTCCACTCGCTGCGAAACATTAGCGACGGGAGGTGTTTGCCAGTTTTCGGCCTCCAGGGGCCCCCACCAGGCCCCAGGACAGTCAAAAAACGACTCGGGCTGAATAACCGGTCCTGGGGAAGTTGCCAGATTCAGGAGGGAAAAAACACACAGACACAATTAATCGACGATTCCCCAGAAAATATGGGAAAATATGGGAAGTGGGGGGGAAGACAAACACCCGGAAACTATGGAAACATATGGGGAATCCTTTTATTTGTGTGTATTTATTTGTGTGTCCCAGGCCCCCTTCACAGACCTCTGGAGGGTCCAGCTCGGGCTTTGACGGGCTCGCAGGAGGAACAGAGTACTTCTTGGGGAGGCGGGGGGAGGAGGAGGAGGACAGAGGGAGGGGAGGAGGAGGAGGGAGTAAGGGAGGGAGGAGGAATAGAAGGTGGGGAGCTCATCACCGCCCCCTTCAAGGGGGCTGGATGGCGAGGGGTTGGATGGGTATGCGCAGGAATTATGATGACGGTGACGACGATGACGATGACGATGATGATGACGATGATGATGACGATGATGCTGCTGCTGATGATGATGCTGATGATGATGATGAGGCCGATCATGATGATCATGCTGATGCTGCTGCTGATGATGATGCTGATGATGGTGATAATGATGTTGTTGTTGCTGCTGTTGTTGTTGATGACGGTGCCGATGATGCTGCAGGGGTGGTGGTGGTGGTGATGATGATGGTGATGACGATGGTAATGGTGATGATGATGATGCTGATGCTGCTGCTGATGATGATGATGATGACGATGATGATGATGATGATGTTGTCGTTGTTGTGCTGTTGATGCTGCTGTTATGCTGCTGCTGCTTCTGCTGCTGCTGCTGTTGTTGTTGTTGTTGTTCCTGTTGTTGTTATTGTTGGTGGTCGTGGTGCTGTTGCTGTTGCTGTTGTTGTTGCTGCTGCTGCTGCTGTTGTTGTTGTTGTTGTTATTATTGTTTTTGTGTTTGTTTTTGTTGTTCTTGGTCTGGTTCTTGTTCTTGTTGTTGTTGTTGTTGTTGTTGTTGTTGTTGTCGTTGTTGTTATTGTTCTTGCTATTGCTGCTGTTGTTGTTGTTGTTGTTGTTGTTGTTGTTGTTGTTGTTGTTTTCTCATCTCTGAAGAGTGATTATTGTTGATCCCCCCGCCCGGTGCACATTGTATTTTTCGATTGAAGTGCCCCTCCCGGGGCTCGCACCCTGTTTTTCATCAGGGAAAGTCTTGAGGGTCAAACTGTGTCGTTGGCCACCAGTCCACAACAACAACTGCTCCCGCCTGATATTTCTTCACAATTTGAAGAAGAATCGCGCTTTCGCCCGGGACTTCCTGGCAATTTACCACCGAATCGCGGCTCCCGCTTGATACGTCTGGACAATTTATTGCAGAATCGCGTTTGTCGCTTGGGACTTCTTCGCAACTTACCACGATATTTCCTTACAATTTATTCAGACGCAGGTCCGCGACACTCAGGACTCGCGCTCCCGCTACATATTGCCTGGCGGTTCAAGCAGGACTCACGCTTCAACGACCCGCCCGCTCGACCCGCCCGTCGGGGCCTGCCCGCCCGACCAGCCCGTTAATGACTGCAGTCGCCGCTCGCTGCCCTTCGCCCGCCTTCGATGCCCCTCGCTGCCCGTACTAATTCCGCGGTCGCCTTCGCTCGCTACCCTTCGTGGCCCCGTTGCTGCCCTCAGTGGCCCCGTCGCTGCCCTTTGTGGCCCCGCATTATATGCCCTTCGTGGCCCCCGCTCGCACGCGCCCGTCGTGGCCCCATACGCATGCCCTTCGTAGCCCCGCTGTCGCCCTTCGTGGCCCCCTCGCTGCCCTTCGTGGCCCCTTTGCTGCCCTCAGTGGCCCCGCTGTCGCCCTTCGTGGCCCCGTATACGAATGCCCTTCGTGGCCCCCGCTCGCACGCGCCCGTCGTGGCCCCATATGCATGCCCTTCGTGGCCCCGCTGTCGCCCTTTGTGGCCCCCTCGCTGCCCTTCGTGGCCCCGGTGCTGCCCTCAGCGGCCCCGTCGTCCCTCTGTGGCCTCGGATTTTATGCCCTTCGCGGCCCACGCTGGCATTTCTCACGATTTACTTGGGATTCGCGCTATCGCTCGAGACTTCCTCGCGATTCATGCAGGTCCCACGCTTCAGCAACCCGCCTGCTCGGCCTCGTCGCCTGGGCCCGCTTTGCCGACCTGCCCGCTTTGGGTCTGCCCACCCGATCTGCTTGTCTGGTTCTACCACTTGTTTTCTGCTCCTTGCTCCCCTCCTGTTAATTTGTCTCGTGCTCCATTCTTCTCCCTTCCCCTTCCCCGTCCTCTCTTCCCTTGTTTTAGGGGCTACATTAAATACACGTGGCAGGTAAGGAAGATATACCCCAAGGGGGGTACGATCGAAAACAACGAGGGCGGGTACCGAGGGTTTGGGATATACGTCTTGGTTGGCACGTGAGCAGGTAGGAGCGAACAGTCTTAACATGATTTTGTTGTTGTTGTTGTTGTTGTTGTTGTTGTTGTTGTTGTTGTTGTTGTTGTTGTTGTTGTTGTTGTTGTAGCTGTTGTTGTTGTTGTTGGTGTTGTTGATGTTGTTATTGTTGTTATTGTGGTTGTGGTTGTGGTTATCGCTGTTGCTGCTGCTGCTGCTGTTGTTGTTGTGGTTGTGGTTGTTGTTGTTGTTGTTGTTGTTGTTGTTGTTGTTGTTGTTGTTGTTGTTGTTGTTGTTGTTGTTGCTGCTGTTGTTGTTGTTGTTGTTGTTGTCGTTGTCGTTGTTGTTGTTGTTGTTGTTGTTGTTGTTGTTGTTGTTGAACTTTCATTTCTGAAGAACAATTATTGGTGATCCCCCCGTCCGGTGCACATTGCTCTGTTTTTTTCGATTGAAGTGCCCTTCCCGGGGCTCGCATCCTGTTTTTTATCAGGGAAAGTCTTGAGGGTCAAAATGTGTCGTTGACCCCCGGTTTACAACAGCAGCGGCTCCCTCTTGATACTTCTTCACAATTTAGCCAGGACCCCCGCTCCCACCCGAGACTTCCTCGCGTTCTATTCAGGAATCGCGCTCTCGCTTGGGACTTCCTTAGAATTTATTCTCCCAGCGCTCTGGAGTCGCGCTCTCGCTGGAGACTTGCTTGCAATTTACTGAAACACAGCGCCCTTGCGTTGGAATTTCTTGCAATTTACTCAAGCGCCGCGCTCCCGACACCCAGGCACCCAGGAGTCGCGCTCACGCTTAGGAGTCTCTCACAGATTACATAGGAATCGGGATCTCGCTGCCCTTCGTGGCCCCGTTGCAGTCCTTCATGGCCCCCTCGCTTTGTTTCGTGGCCCCGTTGCAGCCCTTCGTGGCCCCCTCGCTGCCCTTCGTGGCCCCGTTGCAGTCCTTCGTGGCCCCCCGCTTTGTTTCGTGGCCCCGTTGCAGCCCTTCGTGGCCCCCTCGCTGCCCTTTGTGGCTCCGTCGCAGCCCTTCGTGTCCCCGTTGCAGCCCTTCGTGGCCCCGTTGCTGCCCTTCGTGGCCCCGTTGCATCCCTTCGTGGCCCCCTCGCTGCCCTTCGTGGCCCCATATATGTATGCCCTTCGTGGCCCCCGCTTGTTCGCGCCCGTGGTGGCCCCATCTGCATATGTCCTACGTGGCCCAGTTGTTACCCTCAGTGGCCCCATCGTTGCCTTCTGTGGCCCCGCATTATCTGCCCTTCGTGGCCCCCGCTCGTTCGCGCTCTTCGTGGCCCCATGCGCATTCCCTTCGTGTCCCCGCTGTTGCCCTTCGTGGCCTACTTCGTGTCCTTGTGGCCCTGCTGTCGTTCTCTTTCGCTCTCGCTTTCGCTCGTCGCCGTCATCGTCGACGTCGTCGTCGTGGCCGTCGTCGTCGACGTCGTCGTCGTCGTTGTCGGTCCCCTGTCCGTCCCTCTTGGGGTCGGGTCGACGGTCCGCGGCCGCACCGCCGATCAGCGCTGCCGCTGGCCAGGCCGACGGTCCGCGGCCGCCCCGCCGCTTGCCGGGGCCCGGCCTGCAGGGAAGAAAGGTCTACCCCCCAAAAGGGGTTCGATCGAAGACGAAGAAGGCGGGTATCGAGGGTTTGGGAAATAGGCGTTATTGGACACTCGAGCAGATAGGGGCGAACAGTCTTAAAATGATTGTTGTTGTTGTTGTTGTTGTTATTGTTATCTTATTTCTGAAGAGTAGTTATTGTTGATCCCCCCTCACCGGTGCATGCTGCTTTTCTCAATCAAAGTGTGCCCCGC